GAGGTCAGCAGCAGCGCGTCGCCATCGCCCGCGCCGTCGTTTCGAACCCGAAGCTGATCCTCGCCGATGAGCCCACCGGCAACCTCGACTCGAAGAACGGCAAAGAGGTCATGGATCTGCTGACCGAACTGAACAAGGAGGGCACGACCGTCGTAATGGTAACCCACTCGCAGCACGACTCCTCCTACGCATCGCGCACGATCGACCTGTTCGACGGCGAGATCGTAACCGACGTGAAAGCCTTCCTGTAATCCCTCCGCAGGCAAAACGACCGTTCCGGTTAGAATAAGCGAAGTTGCCGACATGGTTCGGCAACTTTTTTCGCTATACAAAGCTTTGGAATGCAGATACTTACATAACAACCATTCCGATTCGTTATCGGAAATAAGAATTTTGCATGACTATTGATCCGCTGAAAAAACTACTTTTATGTTATGAAACTCTAAAACCGAATCGATATGAAATTTCTGACAAACGAAAAACTGACCATCGTCGGAGCGGCCGGGATGATCGGCTCGAACATGGTGCAAACCGCGATCATGATGGGACTGACCCCGAACATCTGCGCCTACGACCCCTATGCCCCGGCATTGGAAGGAGTCGCCGAAGAGATGTACCACTGCGGATTCGAGGGCGTCAACCTAACCTATACCAGCGATATCCGCAAAGCGCTCGACGGAGCGGGATACGTCGTTTCTTCGGGCGGGGCCGCCCGCAAAGCGGGCATGACGCGCGAAGACCTGCTGAAAGGCAACGCCGAGATCGCGCGCAGTTCGGCAAAGACCTCCGCAACTATTGTCCCGACGTGAAGCATGTGGTCGTGGTGTTTAATCCGGCGACATTACCGGACTGATTACGCTGCTCTACTCCGGCTTGAAGCCTTCGCAGGTCAGCACGCTGGCCGCACTGGACAGCACGCGGCTGCAAATCGCGCTGGCGCAGCATTTCGGCATCGCGCAAGACCGGGTAACCGGTTCGCGCACTTACGGAGGACACGGCGAACAGATGGCCGTATTCGCTTCCACCGCGAAAGTGGACGGCAAACCGCTGACCGAACTGATCGGCACGGCGGCGCTGACCGACGAACAATGGGCCGCCCTGCGGCAGCACGTGATTCAGGGCGGCAAGCGTATCATCGAACTGCGCGGACGTTCTTCGTTCCAAAGTCCCGCCTACCTGTCGATCGAAATGATCCGCGCGGCCATGGCGGAACTCCGTTCCGTTGGCCGGCCGGCGTCTACGTCCCGGACGGCGATCAGGGGCCGGTCATGATGGCGATGGAGACCACGATCGACCGCGACGGCGTGCGCTATAAAGTCCCGCACGGCACAGCCGGGGAGACCGAATCGCTGCACGCCAGCTATCTGCACTTGGTCAAGCTGCGCGACGAGGTGATCGGCATGGGTATTCTGCCGCCGGTATCCGAATGGGGAAATCTCAACCCGCACCTTCGATAAATCCGGTACGAAACGCCGCGCATATACCCGAAAACGATACCGGGCACCGTCCGGTATCGTTTTTTTTTCATACCTTATCAAATCAATTCAAACCCAAAACTTAACGATATGAAACGTAAAGTGATATCCGCCGCGCTATTATCCCTGCTGATCGTCGGGGAAACCGCTGCGGCGCGCAAGCCCTCCGCGACTTTCAAAAGAGCGCCGGAGCCGACCGTTCAGACCCACGTCGACGGCTACCTCGGCGGACGCATCGACGCCTGCATCCGCGTCCGCGTGATGAGCGAGGACGAAAACCTACTGGTCGCCCGTTCCGGCAACGGAACGAGACTAACCGCTGGCAATCCGAATTCTGGGGCAAATGGACGCTCGGCGCCATCGGAGCCTACCGATACAACCGCGACCCGCAGTTGTTGCAGAAGATCGGCAACGGCGTGAGCGGTCTGCTCTCGACCCAGTCCGAGGACGGATACATCGGCAATTACGCGCCGGAAGCGCAACTGACCAACTGGGACGTATGGGGGCAGAAATACACGTTGCTCGGTCTGCTTGCCTATTACGACCTGACCGGAGACAAAAAAAGCGATCGAAGGAGCCTGCAAGCTGGCCGACCGCCTGATGACCGTGATTCCGGCGAAAAAAGAGATCGAGATGGCCGGCATCTACCGGGGACTGCCGCCCAGCTCGATCCTCGAACCGATCGTCTATCTATATAACCGTACGGGGAACGGCAAGTACCTCGACTTCGCCAAATACATCGTCGGCCGTTGGGAAACCGACAAAGGTCCGCAGTTGATCGGCAAAGCGCTGGCCGGGGTTCCGGTGGCGGAGCGCTTCCCGTTCAAAAGCGGCTGGGAAACCTGGTGTTCGTGGGACAACGGGCAAAAAGCCTATGAAATGATGTCTTGTTACGACGGTCTGCTCGAACTGTACAAGATCACGAAAAATCCCGACTACCTGAAGGCCGTCGAGGCGACCGTGCGGAACATCATCGACGAGGAGATCAATATCGCCGGCTCGGGCAGCGCATTCGAATGTTTCTATCACGGGAAACGGCTGCAGACCGACCCGGCTTACCATACGATGGAAACCTGCGTTACGATGACATGGATGAAGCTCTGCCAAAACCTGCTCGATTTGACAAAAATCCGCTTTATGCCGACCAAATCGAAAAAACGACGTACAACGCGCTGCTCGCAGCGCTGAAAGAGGACGCCGGGCAAATCGCCAAATACAGTCCGCTCGAAGGCGTGCGTTCGGCCGGCGAACATCAGTGCGGCATGCATGTGAACTGCTGCAATTCGAACGGTCCGCGGGCATTCGCGATGATCCCGACCGCTGCCGTCCTTTCCAGCAACGACAGTCTGTTCGTCAACCTGTACGGTCCGTCGACCACCAAAGCTTCGTTGGGTAAAAACGAAATCTCGCTGGAACAGACGACCGCCTATCCCGAAGATGGCGACATCGAAATCGCCGTGAACGCGCCGAGGAACCTCGAATTCGCAGTCGCCGTGCGAATTCCCGCCTGGAGCAAGGTCAGCCGGGTCGCCGTGAACGGCGAATCGATCGGAGACGTCCGGCCGGAACCTACGTCACCGTCAGAAGACGCTGGGAACCGGGCGACAAGATTTCCGTAAATCTGGATATGCGCGGACGGCTCGTCGAACTGAACGGTTACCAGGCTATCGAGCGCGGGCCGATCGTTCTGGCGCGGGATTCCCGGTTCGACGACGGATTCGTGGACGAAGCCTCCGTCATCCAAGCCAATGCAGACGGCTATGTGGAACTGATGCCCGTAACGGAAGCGGACAAACCCGAAAAGATGTGGATGGTCTATACGGCCCGCTGGTGCTGGGTACCGACTGGAAGGCGATTTTTATAAACCCAGGCAGATCCGGTTCTGCGATTTCGCTTCGGCCGGCCACACCTGGGACAGACGGATTCGTTACCGCGTATGGCTGAAAAAAACGTATAACGTCATTCTGGCTCCGCAACAGTAAACCCTTCAGCCGCGCTTTTGGCCGCAGGAGACCTCGCTACGACCGGAGTCCCGTCAACCGAAAATAAAAAACCGACCGTATCCCGGCCGGTTTTTTATTGCGGACACTGCACAAGATTACTGTCCTTTCAGGAATCGGTCGATGTTTTCGGCGGCCCTGCGCCCCGACGCGATCGCGCGGACAACCAACGATGCGCCCATAGAGGCATCCCGGCGGCAAAAACTTTTCCGACCGTAGTTCTGTTCGCATCGTCGACCGCAATGTTCTTGCGCGCATCGAGCCCGACTCCCAGATCGCCGACCAGCCCGTCGAGATGAACGAATCCATCGCCAGCAATACGATATCGGCCTCTATGACCTCCGTTTCCCGGTATGTTTCAGCGTCATCTTTCCCGCATCGTCCTTTTCCCATTCGACGCGTTCGGTCTCGACGCCGATCAGCACGCCGTCTTTCCCGATAAAGCGGTTCGTTGCGAGATTCCAACGGCGTTCGCAGCCTTCCTCATGCGACGAGGAGGTTTTCAACCCTGCGGATACATCGCCACGGAGTATGATTGCTGCCTACCGGCGGCTTGGGCATGATCTCGATCTGGGTAACCCCGACGGCGCCTTGACGGATGGACGTGCCGACACAATCCGATCCGGTATCGCCGCCGCCGATCACCAATACCGTTTTCCCTGTGCGGAAATCCGCTCGTTCTGCGGAATCTGTGCGCCGGCATTCACCCGATTTTGCTGTTGCAACAGCTCCAGCGCGAAATACACCCCTTTCAGGTCGCGCCCCTCCACCGGAAGATCTCGCGGCACCCCGGCGCCGATCGTCACGCAAACGGCATCGAACTTTTCGAGTAATTCTTTAGTTTTAAAATCTTTACCTACACAAACAGAAGGTTTAAACTCGATCCCCTCCTCAGCCAGCAGCTTCAATCTCCGGTCGATAATTTTCTTACCGAGTTTGAAGTCCGGAATCCCCAACCGCAACAGTCCGCCGATAAACTCATTTTTTTCGAACACCGTTACACGGTGCCCGCGCCGGTTTCAGCCTGTTCGCGCAAGCCAGTCCCGAAGGTCCCGATCCGACGACCGCCACCCGCTTTCCGGTACGCCTGCGCGGCGGGCGCGCCGTAACGTACCCTTCGGCAAAAGCACGTTCCACGATCGACACTTCATTTTCCGGATAGTCACCGGTGCGTCGTGCAGTTTCAGTACGCAGGATTTTTCGCACAACGCCGGACACACGCGCCCGGTAAACTCAGGGAAGTCGTCCGTCTCGGCCAGCGAACGGTAAGCCTCCTCCCAGCGACCGCGCCAGGCAGATCCTGCCATTCGCCCTGGCGGTTACCCAGCGGACAGGCCCAGTGGCAAAACGGCACCCCGCAGTCCATGCAGCGCGAAGCCTGCAGGCGGCGGTCTTCGATATTGAGCGTCTGCTCGACTTCGGCATAATCGTATATCCGGTCGTGCAACGGGCGGTACCCCGCCTCTTTACGACCTATGGTCAAAAATGCTTTCGGATTTCCCATGATTGTTCGTTTTTCAGCGGTTTAATAATCTTTTTCCATCTCGGCGATCTTGCGGTCGAGCGCGGCCATGCGCTGCGCATGGAGCACTTTTTTGTATTCGATCGGCATCACCTTGATAAACTGGCCGACGTATTCGCTCCAGTCGTCGATCATCGTTTTGGCGAGCGGGCTGCCCGTATGGTAATAGTGCGAACTGATCAGCGCATGCAATTCCTTGCTGTCGGCCGTCTCTTCGATCAACGACAATTCGACCATCTCCATGTTGCAGAAGAAGTCGAAATTGCCGAGACGGTTCCACACGTAAGCGATTCCGCCGCTCATGCCCGCCGCAAAGTTTCGTCCGGTCGTACCGAGCACTACGGCGCGGCCGCCGGTCATGTATTCGCAACAGTGATCTCCCACCCCTTCGACAACGGCCGTCGCGCCGCTGTTACGGACGCAGAAACGCTCGCCGACCTGCCCGTTGATATACACTTCGCCCGCCGTCGCGCCGTAGAGCAGCGTATTGCCGGCAATGATGTTCTCGTGGGGCAGGAAAGTCGAGTTTTTCGGCGGCACCAAAACGATTTTTCCGCCGGAAAGCCCTTTGCCGAGGTAGTCGTTGGCGTCTCCCTCCAAGCGAAACGTCACGCCCCGGCACAGGAACGCTCCGAAACTCTGCCCGGCAGAACCGCGGAAAGTCACGCTGACCGTATTCTCGGGCAACGCTTCGCTGCCGTATTTCGAAGTGATCTGTCCCGAAAGCATCGCTCCGACCGAACGGTCCGTATTGTAAATCGGGAAACTCAGGTGCACCGGCATTTTCGAATCGATGGCCGGAGACGCCATCCCGATGATCGAACGGTCCTTGACCTTTTCGATCTTATGATCCTGCACGGTCGTCCGACGGACGTCGTTCGTTCCGGCTTCGGCCGGACGGTACAGGATCCTCGACAAATCCACTTTCGAAATTTTGGTTCCCGGTTCGAACTTTTTCGGCTCGATCAGGTCGGTGCGACCGATAATGTCGTCCAACCGCGCGTATCCGAGTTCGGCCAACGTTTCGCGGACATCTTCGGCCAGAAAGTTAAAGAAATTGACCAGGTACTCGTACGCCCGCGGAAATGTTCCCGCAGCCGTTCGTCCTGCGTAGCCACGCCGACCGGACAAGTGTTCATATGGCACTTGCGCATCATCACGCACCCCAGTACGATCAACGCGCTCGTAGCGAATCCGAACTCCTCGGCCCCGAGCAGCGCGGCGATCACCACGTCGCGGCCGGTTTTCAACTGGCCGTCGGTCTGCAGCGTGACTTTACCGCGCAGACCGTTCAGCACGAGGGTTTGCTGTACGTCGGCCAAGCCGATTTCGGTCGGCAGGCCGGCATGTTTCACCGAGCTGACCGGACTGGCTCCGGTACCGCCTTCGCCGCCGCTGACCAGGATCATATCGGCTTTCGCTTTAGCGACTCCGGCCGCAATGGTGCCGATTCCGCTTTCGGAAACCAATTTCACGCTGATCCGCGCGCGCGGATTGACATTCTTCAGGTCGAAAATCAATTGCGCCAGGTCCTCGATCGAATAAATATCGTGGTGCGGAGGCGGCGAGATCAGCGAAATGCCGGGGATCGAATGCCGCGTCCGGGCGATCATCTCGTCGACTTTGTAACCGGGGAGTTGTCCGCCCTCGCCGGGCTTGGCCCCCTGGGCGACCTTGATCTGGATCTCGTCGGCATTGACCAGGTATTCGGCATGGACGCCGAAACGTCCCGAAGCCACCTGTTTGATCGCGCTGCGGGCGATCGTACCGTCCGTATTGGGACGGTAACGCCGCGCGTCCTCGCCGCCTTCGCCGGTATTGCTTTTGCCTCCGATCTTATTCATCGCGATCGCGATCGCCTCGTGCGCCTCGCGGCTGAGCGAACCGAACGACATCGCACCGGTTACGAAACGCTTCATGATCTCCGTCGCCGGCTCCACGAGCGACAGGTCGATCGGATTGCGTTTCAATTCCATCAAATCGCGCAGAAACATCGGCGACGGTTTTTCGTTGACAAGTCGCGTATACTCCTTGAATTCTTGTAACTGCCCAGCCGCGTGGCCAGTTGCAGCGTAGAGATCGTCTCCGGATTCCACGCATGCCGCTCGCCGTCCTTACGATAGGCGTAATTGCCGAAATTCTCCAGCGGCGCATCCTCGTCGTACAGCTCCCCGAAACCGTGCGCATGAGCGGTCAGCGTATCGACGGCGAGGTCTTCCAAGTCGGCCCCGCCGATCTTCGAGGTCATCCCCCGGAAATACCGTTTCAGCAATCCGTCCGACAGTCCCACCGCTTCGAAGATCTCCGCGCCGCGGTAACTGCGGATCGTCGAAATCCCCATCTTGGAGATAATTTTCAGTAATCCTTTATTTAACGCTTTGACGTAATGTTTTTCGGCCGTTTCGTAGTCCAACTGAATATCGCCTTGGGCAACAGCCGGTCGAGCACGGCGAAGCCATATACGGATTGACGGCGCTGGCCCCGAATCCGATCAGCAACGCCATATGCATCACTTCGCGCGCCTCGGCGGTTTCGACGATCAGCGCGATCTGAGCCCGCTTGCGCCGGTCGTTCAGGTAGTGGTGCACGGCCGACAGAGCCAGCAGCGACGGGATCGGAGCATGTTCGACGTCGACGCCCCGATCGCTCAGAATCACATAATTGTAACCGTCGTCGACCGCTTTTTCCGCCATTCCGCAAAGTCGGTCAACCGCGTCCGCAAGCCCCTGTCCGCCGTCTGCCGGGCCGAACAGCATCGGCAAGGTCAGCGTCCGAAATCCTTTGTAACGCAGATTATTCAAAATATCCAGTTCGGCATTGGTCAGGATCGGACTCGGCAGTTTGACCACTTTGCAGTGTTCGGCCGACGGGTGCAAGATATTTCCGCCGACCGCGCCGATGTAACTGGCGATCGACATGACCAGTTCTTCGCGGATCGGATCGATCGGCGGATTGGTCACCTGCGCGAACTGCTGCCGGAAATAGTTGAACAACCGCTGCGGTTTGGCCGACAGAATGGCCAGTGGCGTGTCGTTGCCCATCGAACCGAGCGGTTCGAAACCGTTTCGCCCATCGGCTTGATAAGCTTCTCGACGTCCTCCCGGTTGTACCCGAACACGCGCAGCATCCGGTCGTACTGTTCGACCGAATGTTCACCTGCCGGCCCGAAGTAATCTGGTTCAGCACGACCCGGTTCCGTCCGAGCCACTCTTTGTACGGATGTTCGGCGGCGAGCTGTTCCTTGATTTCCGGATCGTAACGGATTTCGCCCTTCTCGGTGTCGATCATCAGGATTTTACCGGGACGCAAACGACCCTTTTCGCGGATCTCCGAAGCTTCGACGGCAAACGTCCCGGTCTCCGAAGCGACCACCATCATGTCGTTCTTGGTAATAAAGTAACGGGCCGGGCGCAGGCCGTTACGGTCAAGCATACCGCCGGCATAACGGCCGTCCGAAAAAAGCAACGTCGCCGGGCCGTCCCAAGGCTCCATGAAAATACTGTGGTATTCGTAAAAAGCCTTCAGTTCGGCGGATATCGGATTTTTATCGTTATAGCTTTCCGGAATCAACATCGCCAGCGCATGGGGTAACGTCATGCCGCTCTGAACGAAAAATTCCAGTACGTTGTCCACGAAGCGCTGTCGCTCATTCCCCGCTGCACGACGGGCCCCAGCTCTTCGAGCGGACAGAGCAGGTCGGGATGCAGCACGCCCTCGCGGCTCTCCATCCAGCTCCGGTTACCGCGGATCGTATTGATCTCGCCGTTGTGCCCCAACAGGCGAAACGGCTGCGCGAGACTCCAGGTCGGAAACGTATTGGTCGAAAACGCGAATGCACCAAAGCCAGGCCGCTGGTAAAATACGGATTGACCAGATCGGGGAAATAATAGCGTAACTGTACCGACGACAACATCCCTTTGTAGACCAGCGTACGGGTAGACAGGCTGACCACATAGCACGCCTCCTTCTGTTCCAGGTCGCTTTCGAGCCACTCTTTCTCGATCTTTTTGCGGACGATATAGAGCTTGCGCTCCAGGGTCGACGCGCCCGGATCGCCCGTTACGAAGACCTGTTTAATCACAGGTTCCGTGTCGCGGGCCGCCCGGCCCAGCACGTCGTCGTTCACCGGAACGTCGCGCACGTGCATCAGGTTAAGTCCCTCGGCCTGTACGTTTCGTTTGACGATCCCCAGAGCCGCCGTCTGACCGGCTTTGTCGCGCGGTAAGAAAACGAGTCCGGTTCCGTAATGCCCCTTTTCGGGAACCGGAATGCCCTGCAAGAGAATAAATTCATGGGGAATCTGCACCAGGATGCCGGCTCCGTCGCCGGTTTTGTTATCGGCCCCTTCGGCTCCGCGGTGCATCATGTGTTCGAGTACCTGGAGACCGTTTTCGACAATGTCGTGGGTCTTATTCCCCTTGATATTGACAACCAGTCCGACGCCGCACGCGTCGCGTTCGTTATCGGGATCGTATAACCCCTGTCGGCGGGGCGCAACGTTTATTTTTCGATTCTGTTTCATGCCTTTTGTCTGTAATTGCGCCGCAGCGTTTTTTCACAACCACCGCAGCGCGGATTAAAAACCACTAGCGTACGAATAGCAACTCCCTGTATTTCGGCAGCGGCCACATTTCGTTGTCGACCACCTCTTCGAGTTTGTCGGCGTGGTAACGGATCTCATCGAATGCCACAGCCACCGTATCGTGATAGGCAATCGCCTTTTTCCGTTCGCTGGCGATTTTGTTGGCCACTTTGCGAGCTTCGATCATCTTTTCGGTCAACGTCTGGATCTTCTCCATGTGAACGGAGATCTTCTCGATCAGCGCCATGTCCTGGCCAGCCACGCTTCCGAATTTATCGGCGCCGAACAACTCTTTCATTTTAAAGCCTTGTCCAGCAGCATTCCCTGGTAGCGCGAAGCGACCGAAGAATGTGATTCATCACCAGATCTCCCAACACGCGGGCTTCGATCTGGATCTTTTCGTATAGGTCTCCCACTTCACCTCGGCACGCGCATGCAACTCTTTCGACGAAAGCACCCCCATCCGAACGAACATCTCGGCATGGGTCGGCGCAACGAACTGGTCGATGATCTCCGGAACGGAAACCGCGCAGTCCAGACCGCGCCTCAGAGCTTCCTCTTTCCACTCGTCGGTATAACCGTTGCCGTCGAAATGAACCGCGGCGGACTCCCTGACGTAAGCCTTCAGCACGGACAGAATCGCCTGCTCTTTGGGTTCGCCTTTGCCGACACGGGTGTCGACGGCCTCCTTGAATTCGGCCAACTGATCGGCTACGGCGGTATTCAATACGGTCATCGCGCCGCCGCAGTTATCCGAAGAGCCTACGGCGCGGAACTCGAAACGGTTGCCCGTAAAGGCGAACGGAGACGTCCGGTTGCGGTCGGTATTGTCGATCAGCAATTCCGGAATATGATCGATTCCTCCCATCCGGAAACCGCACTTGTCGTCGAATTCGATCGTATCGTCGCACGAACTGGAGGCCAGTTTGTCAAGCACCGCCGAAATCTGGCGGCCGAGGAACACCGAAATGATCGCCGGGGGCGCTTCGTTCGCACCCAGCCGGTGGGCATTCGTCGCGCTCGCGATACTGGCCTTCAGTAATCCGTTCCGCTTGTAAACGGCCATCATCACATTGACCAGAAACGTGATGAACTGCAGGTTATCCTGCGGCGTTTTGCCCGGGGAGAGCAGGTTGACGCCGGTATCGGTTCCGAGCGACCAGTTGTTGTGTTTGCCCGAACCGTTGATTCCTTTTAAACGGCTTTTCGTGCAGGATCACCGGAAACAGTGGCGGCGCGCCACCTTTTCATAATCGACATCAGCAGCAGGTTATGGTCGTTGGCCAGGTTGGTCTCTTCGAAAATCGGGGCAAGCTCGAACTGGTTCGGAGCCACCTCGTTGTGACGCGTTTTGGCCGGAATGCCGAGTTTCCAGCACTCGTATTCGAGATCTTTCATAAACGCCATCACCCGGGTCGGAATGGCTCCGAAATAATGGTCTTCCAACTGCTGGTTTTTGGCGCTCTCGTGCCCCATCAGCGTACGACCGGTCAGCACCATGTCCGGACGAGCCGCATAAAGGCCCTCGTCGACGAGAAAGTACTCCTGCTCCCATCCAGGTAGGAGTACACTTTCGACACCGTCGGATCGAAGTAGCGGCACACCTCCGTAGCGGCTCTATCGACGGCCTGCAGCGACCGAAGCAAGGGTACCTTGTAGTCGAGCGCTTCCCCGGTATAGGCGATAAAAATCGTCGGGATACAGAGCGTCGTATCGACGATGAAAGCCGGCGAAGTCGCATCCCAAGCCGAATAACCGCGCGCTTCGAACGTATTGCGGATACCGCCGCTCGGAAAGCTCGATGCATCGGGCTCCTGCTGAATCAGCAGCTTCCCGGAAAACTCCTCGATCACCCCGCCCTTGCCGTCGTACTCGACAAAAGCGTCGTGTTTTTTCGGCCGTACCGCCCGTAAGCGGCTGAAACCAGTGCGTATAGTGCGTGGCGCCCATGTCCATCGCCCACTGTTTCATACCCGATGCGACGCTGTCTGCAATTTCGCGGCTCAGCGCTTTACCGTGCTTCATCGTCTCGAACAGCGCCTCGTTTTTTTTTTCGGCAGGTACTTGCGCATTTTGTCTTCATTGAAAACATACATTCCGAAATATTCGGAAGCCCGTTCCGCCGGCGCGGGCATACAAACGGCCTTGCGTTTGATCGCCTCTTCCACTACTTTAAATCTAAGTTCTGACATGGCTTTATAAATTTAAGTATTAGAAACTTTTCCGTCTCTCAAATCATTTTTTACTTCAGATAGATATTGTGCTTGCGGCACGTCTCTACCATCTCTTCGGGCCAGATACTGGCCTGCACTTCGCCGATATGCGCGCAGCGCAGCAGGAACATGCATAACCGCGACTGGCGATCCCTCCGCCAATCGACAACGGAATACGGTCTTCGAGCAGCGCTTTGTGAAATTCCAAATCGGCGCGCTCGGGACACCCCTCGAGTTCCAACTGACGCAATAAAGCCGTTTTGTCGACCCGGATACCCATGCTTGAAACTTCGAAAGCGGATTCGAGCACCGGGTTCCACAGGATAATGTCGCCGTTCAACCCTTTATACCCTCCGTCGGACGGGGTTGTCCAGTCGTCGTAATCCGGAGCCCGGCCGTCGTGTTTTTTGCCGTCGGACAGTTTGCCGCCGATGCCGATCACGAAGATCGCCCCGTATTTGCGGGCCGCTTCCGTCTCGCGTTCCCGAGGAGACAGCGACGGATACATTTTCAACAGGTCTTCGCTTTGGATGAACCGGATGGTCTCCGGAAGGATCGGCGTGATGTGCGGATAGATCTCATACACTTCGCGTTCCATGCGGCGAACTACACCGTAAATTTTAGTAACGATCTCTTTCAGGAAATCGAGGTTGCGCTGTTCGGCCGTCACGGTGCGTTCCCAATCCCACTGATCCACGTAGATCGAATGCAAGTTATCCAGCTCTTCGTCGGCGCGGATGGCGTTCATGTCGGTATAAGACCGTAACCGGGAGCGATGCCGTAAGCTCCGAGTTTCATTCGTTTCCACTTGGCCAGCGAATGCACCACCTCGGCGCGGCGTTCACCCATATCTTTGATCGGGAACGAAACCGGCCGTTCGACGCCGTTCAGGTCGTCGTTGATTCCCGTCCCGGACAGCACGAAAAGCGGCGCGGTGACCCGGCGCAAATCCAGTTCGGCCGCCAGCGATTTCTGAAAGCGGGTTTTAATCGTCTTGATGGCCTGTTCCATCATCTCCGGAACGAGTTTGGCCTTGTACTGTTTTACCATGTAAAGTGACATATGCTTAATTTTAACGTTTTTTCTTTTTTTCGATATCCCGGCGGCCGGTTCGCCGCGGGCATCTTGCAACCAACTTAAACTTAACCTCTATTACGCTACATCCAACGATGTCTAACTGTTGTAAGCGCTCTCGCCGTGTTCGTAGATATCGAGTCCCTCCTCTTCCACGCGGGCGTCAACACGCAGACCGACCAATTTGTCGACGATCTTGAACAGAATATAGGTCATTGCGGCGCTGAAAACGACGGATACCGCCGTAGCCACTACCTGCACCACAACTGATGCCAGTCGCCGTAAAGCGCTCCCTTCCACACACCGCCTTCGCCGCTGATATACCGCGTAGCGAAACTCCGGTAAGAATAGAACCCACGATACCGCCCATGCGTGTACGCCGAATGCGTCGAGGGCGTCGTCGTATTTGAATTTCGGTTTGACGACGGCCACCATGAAAAAGCAAACGACCGAGGAAAGAAGCCCGATGCAAACGGCTCCAAGAACGCTTACGGTGCCTGCGGCAGGCGTAATGGCAACCAGTCCGGCCACCGCTCCGGTACACACGCCGACCGTCGTCGGCTTTTTGTTGTGCACCCAGTCGATCAGCATCCACGTCATCGCCGCCACGCAAGTGGCCAGTGCGTCACCAGAAAAGCGTTGGCCGCGATACCGTCGGCCTGCAGACCGCTTCCGGCATTGAAACCGAACCAGCCGACCACAGAAAAGCCGTTCCCATGAATACGAAAGTAACGTTGTGCGGGCTCATCGGCTGTCCGACCCGGTAGCCTCTTCTCTTACCGAGCAGCACGGCCATTACCAGTGCGGAAATACCGGCATTGATATGCACGACCGTTCCGCCCGCAAAGTCGATGGCCCCCATTTCCTGCAGCCATCCGCCGCCCCATACCCAGTGCGCCATCGGGTTGTACACCAAGATGCTCCACAGGATCGTGAAGAGCATAAAGCCCGAAAATTTGATCCGTTCGGCAAAAGCGCCCAGTATCAAAGCCGGCGTGATCACGGCAAACATACACTGGAAAACCACGAAAATGATTTCGGGAATGTTGCCCGTAGTCAGCGCCGACGGCGTTACGCCGTTCAGCATCACTTTATCGAAACCGCCGATCACGCTGCCTGCGGCAGTCCCGCAAAGAGAGGTTCCGAATACGAAACTGTAACCGAATGCCACCCACAGAATACTAATTACGCCGACGATAAGCAAGCACTGCATAATGAGCTCAGTACGTTTTTCTGGCGCACCAGCCCGCCGTAAAACAGGGCGATACCGGGAATGGTCATTAACAGGACTGAAATGGTAGCGACGATCATCCACGCCGTGTTGCCGCTGTCCACCGCAGGGACGGCGACTTGTGTAATATCTTCTATATAATCCATGACTCAAAATTCTTTGTCGTTATACTTCGTGTTCGTTCAATAACAAGCCCTCGAAAAAAACTATTTCTCCAGCTCCGCATTGTAAAGGGCGATATCGCCCCTTTCACCGGTAGGATGCGGATGGCGTCGTCGATGGGAATGACGAATATGCGCCCGTCGCCGATCTCGCCGGTAAAAGCCGATTTAAGAAGGGCCTGCACCGTCTTTTCCACATTCTTATCGCGCAGAACAATCGATATCAGTATCCGCTCGATGGAACTGGTATCATACACCACTCCGCGGTAGATACGGGCCTGGCGGGACTTTCCGATCCCTCGAACGTCGTAATAAGAGAACCACTCGATGTCTGCTGCGAGCAAAGCTTCCTTCACTTCCTCGAACTTGGTCTTACGAATAATTGCCTCGATCTTTTTTCATTTGCTTGGATTTTATGGTGAATGAACTAAAAAGATATCCCGAATACGAGACTCGCATCATCGGTCGCCGGCGAAGCGACGGCCTGCACGAAGACCGGCAGCGAATAAGAATCCGTAATCCGGACCGTTTTGGAGGCTTTCAGCGAAATATTCGAAACCTGAAACCCTTTGTCGCCCCATCGCGGAGTCAGCCATGCCGGAGCGTCCCACGGCGCCACGCCGACTGCACAGGTCAGATCGACGCCTTTGATCCGGAAATCGTAACCGAGTTCGATATAGGTCGAAAACTTCCGCTCGCCGTCCACTTTGTCGAGATCCCGGCGAACATCGTGCTCCAGGAGACGTGCAACGGAAACTTTTTGCCGAATGATGCCCAGCGTCCCTCAAACAGGTGCGTATTCAGATAATCGGAATAGAAAGGAGCGCCCTGTCCGGCCCACCAGTAATCGGTGACTCCGACCGAAAAACGCCGACCGAATAACCGGCCGAAAGATCCAGCTCCTTGAAACCTTCCCGCAAGCTGGTCGAGCCCCAGGCTCCGATGGAAAATCCTTTATAAGCCAATCCGAGCGAAGGCTGAACACTCGCCCCCGATCCTATCTGATAGACCCCCCTCCACAACATATCCGCTCACGAGGTCCGCTCCCACGTTCACCACACTCCGGACTGGGCTTTTAAAGACGGCGCGCAAGTCGAAAACACTATCGCCGCCAACATCATACGTACATGGATAAATTCTTTTTCATAGCCTTTCATTTAAATGGATCAACAACTCATTTCTTTTCCGGACTCCGATCCGTTTCGACGAATCGGACCGTTTTGTCAGATTTTCCGTTCAATCCCCATACGGGGATTTTCTGCCAACGAAAAATAATAAGTAAAATCCTCAGGCTTCATAACCACAAATTCAATCGTTTGATGCAAATATAGTATTTTTAAATTCTATAATGCAAATTTTTGGGGTATATTTTAATATAATACTTATTTTAAAACATATACCCCCAAAATACACCACAAATCACAAATAATTTAAATTACGATTTAAAACAATAATTCTATTAAACGCATAATTATCTCGTCAAAATCCGGTAAAAACACGTAATATCCTGCCTGAAACCCGGATTTATAAAAAACAGTAACCTAAAATTACGACTCGGCATAAATTCGATCTTTTCGGACACCCCCTCACATTTCGGGGGATATTTCCACAAAATCGTTTTGAACCGCCAAGCGTCAAATTCACAACCCTGTAACTTCAAAAGGACATAATAAGAAAAAAAGGACTTAAAAAGAGTACCCCTTCCTGCAAAACCATACTACCGTCAATAAGCGGTATGTTTTTGACAGAATAACGGTAAACTCTAAAAGTATGAAAGCGAATAAATCTACCTTTCTGATTCTGATTTTATCCGGAGCCCTGTTGTTGGGCTGCAAACGAAAGCGAGAGACGCAGACGCCGCCGCTCGAACTACCGGTGGCGAAGCGACGACGAGCGATATTCGATATGGATGGACTTCGTAGGCCAGACCTACGGAAAATCGGACATCACGATACAGGCGCGCGTAAGCGATTTTTGCGCGGAATCTATTTCAGAGAAGGGACATTCGTACACAAGGGAGACTTGCTCTACGTGATCGAAACCGGCCCCTTACGCCGCGCAAACGGCTCAGCGGCAGGCCTCGGTCAGCCAGGCCGAAGCGGAACTGACAATGCCCGGCAGAATTACGAACGCGTGAAACCGCTCGCAACCATCAACGCTGCCAGCAAAAGCGACCTAGACGCCGCCGTCTCGCGGCTATCGGCAGCCCAGGCGGCTCTGAAAGCAGCTCAGGCTGCATTGAAATACACCGAAATCGAACAAAGTTACACGCAGGTACTCTCCCCCGTAAACGGCATTATCGGACAGACAAAAGCCCGCACCGGAGATACGTAGGCCCCGGATCGCAATATGCGGTACTGAACACCGTCTCGCAGGTCGATACGATACGCGTGGTATTCTTCATCCGGAAGACACCTATTTCGATCTGATACGTCGGGGCAGGGCCGATTCAGCGAAATCATGCTGACGATCTCGGACAACATCGCCTATCCGCACCGGGGGCACTTCGATTTTATCGGACGGGCCGTCGAGCAGGGCACCGGATCGCTGAACGCACAGGTTTCGTTCCCGAATCCGGATACGCTGTTGCGCCCCGGGCAGTTCGCCCGCATCCGCACCGTCGTCGGACACGCTGCGGTCGGCGCTGCTGATCCCGCAACAAGCGGTAATGCGCACGCAGGGCATCAGCAGCGTCTATGCGCTCGATTCGGCCGGACGGGCGAAACAGCGCATCGTATCCCTCGGCAATACCTATAATAATATGTGGGTAGTCAACTCCGGACTCGACTCCGGAGCGCGCGTCGTCACTTCGGGTTTCCACAAAGTTCGTGAAGGAGCGGTCGTAGAGCCGATGACCGTCGCCGATTCACTCCAAAAATAGAAAACTATGGGAAACTTTTCGTAAGACGTCCGATATTCGCCATGGTCATCGCCATCATGATCGTAGTGCTGGGACTGATCGCCATCAAAAGCATGCCGATCGAGCAATACCCTGACATCACGCCGCCCGTGGTCGAAGTGACGGCTCAGTATCAGGGAGCCGACGCGCTCACGGTCGAGCAGAGCGTTGCACGCCGATCGAAGAGGCGTTAACGGAGTGAGCGACATGATCTACATGCAGTCGACCAACTCGAACGACGGCAGCATGTCGTTACAGGTGTCCTTCGGCGTAGGAAGCAACCCGGACATGAGCACCGTATTCACTCAGAACCGCGTCTCGTCGGCCCCGCCGATGCTAAACCGCAGCCGGTGATCCAACAGGGCGTCACCACGCAAAAAACCATGACGAGTTTTCATCATGGTGCTATCGCTGTTCTCCGACGGCCGGTACGACGAGAATT